AGCTTTGCCCCCACAAGGCCTGATAGCTGAGTTCGTGGAATGACTCGGAGTATAGCGGTCTGTAACCATTTCCGACGTCTGGGGACACATTCGTCCATGTCTTCAGCAATTCAGGGTAGAGTCTTTCTCTCCCTTTTTTGCCTTTGCCTCTCCCCATCTCTCCTGCCGACAGCATGCCAATCCAATCAGAAGAACGGCATCGATAGCAAAACGCCGCTTGCTTCACTCCCTGGTCACCCCTATTGTCGTAAGGCAGGGCTGCATTCTTATTTGCCCTCTGGCGAGATGCGGGATGACTTGCCGCCTGCTAGTGAGGTGGCGAAACAGGTAAAGGATTACTGATGCGCTCATGGCGCGTATACGGATGTTCATGATATGTGTACGTGTAGCGTGCATGCTGCTTCTTCTCTTTGTTTGTGCATACAGGCCTTCAGCTCTCTGCCAGCTCCGCTGGACACATCAGCTTCGACTCTTCTCTACGCATGGGGCCAGTTCATTATTTCACACATTTCCCAGTCAAGAAAGGCACACGACGAACAAATCGGTTTGGCCTTCCCTACCCGTCACTCTCCCTCATATGCCGCCAACTGCTCTTCTTTTTCAGGTACCTCTTTCTTCCGCAGTGCCTATACGGTCATTGAGGGCATCAGACATCCGATAAATCGCAAGAGTGTGTTTATAGATGGGTCATCTCTCTATGGAGAAAATGAGAAACAGAGAAGGACGGTGAGAGAGGGAAAGGGAGGTAGGGTAAGATTGGATAGCAGCGGCTTGCCTGAGGGAGAGGGGAAGGAGAAGGATGAATGTCGGCATTTTGCCTTTGCGGATCCTTTGTTGAATCTTCATCCGCTGCTAAGCGTCTTTGCTATTGGTGAGTACACACACGTAGTACACGTTGATATGCATACCCGTACATACTGAAAAAAGAAATACAAGAGTGAGCTCTGTTTTGTCCTTCATTCGCTTTTGCGTAACGCACATGCGAATCAATGTATGCGTGCATATCTATTTGTGTCTTTACCTATATCCAGTTCTCCTTCGCGAGCACAATCGCTATGCAGCCGTACTGGCTTTGCGTCATCCTCAGTGGTCGGATGATGACATCTTTTACGAAGCGAAAGCATGGATTGTGGCACTCATGCAGAAGATTACACTCGAACAGGTGGCGAGAAAAGTGTTTCGACCTACACTGTACCTGTCTCTACGCATGTTGCTGTTTCATAATTATGCATGCTCTGGGGCAAATGTGCATATGGATGTATACATGAATGTACACTATGTATCCTTATGTGTGTCGTTTCAGTATTTGCCGGTCCTCCTTGGACATCCGTTGCCTCCCTATCGAGGCCATGACCCAGCCATCGATCCTTCAATTGACGTCTTCGTAGCATCCACTGTATTTAGGTATATACACGCATGTACGGCAAGACGGATGTACATATATATATGGTCGACAGCTCGTCTTGGTTTTCAGGTATGGCCCTTTCATTATTCCTCCTCTTATTCACCTTTACGACCCAATTACCCTCAAGCCACACCCACTCGGTATGCACCATTTTGCATCTTAGCTATACATATACATACGCTACATGCACATACACACACATATGGTACCAGATATATACAAACATGTCCACATGTAGGCCCCATCCCCCTCTCCTCCACCATCTGCCACCCCTATACTCTGCGATCAATCAACGTCGAGCCCTTCATATTTGGAGCACTCCTACAGGCGGCAGCACTCATGCGAGGAAGAATGAATACAGGTGGCGTGATTGTCAAGGCAGATAAACACTCTATCCGATGCATGCATGCGAACACGTAATGTGTATGCCTCTAATGATGCGTGGAATGTTTTTTGTACCTCCATGCAGATATCCGTCACACGCCTCCCCCTTCCTCCTGCAACGACACCTCTAACTGTGCATTCGACCTCGCAGCAGTCGATGTGCTGAGGGGAAGAGACTGGGGCGTAGGTAAGTCTGTTGTCGTAGATGGTCAGATTGTCCCTTCCCTACATACGTATCTCACTCATCGCGCAAAAGAATACGTAAATCCTTTGTGCTTTCGATGGATTTCCACCTCTGTGTCTATTTCATCGTCAGGCTTCTATAATGATGTGCGGCAGAGCTATGAATTATCGAGAGTGGAGAGTTTTAGGGAATTTGGTGAGATGGGTGACGTGTTGGAAGAGGTGTATGGTGATGTTGACAGGATAGAGGCTTATGTGGGAGCGAATTTAGGTGAAAGGGGGGTGTGGGAGATATTGACAGATCTTGTTAATTAGTGAAAATATGCGTCTGTAGTAGCAAATATGTGCTTGAGTATTATCCATGCCTTTCCTTTTTTGGCTCCATGCAGAAATGCTGCGTCATTCTCCCTCTGTCGAAAGTCATGGCGTCCTTCCGCCTCTTGACAAAGCAGCTACACATGACACTTTTCAGAAAATAAGACATGCAGATCCAAGGTGAGAGGCATAGAGAAGGCCATGAATCTTGATACTTGTCCAACCATGTATTGTGCGTCAGATGGTTTGAGAATTATCTGTCTTATTTCGACAGCTTCCGTACGAACATCGCTTCCTCTCCCCCTCCTCCTCCCTCCTTTCCATTCAAAGATGTCGAACTCGCTAAGCAGCTCGTTTCAGTATCTCTTGCAGACGTCTTGATGTGGAATACGCGCCTCTGTCGTTATATCCCGAGTAACCCATTCCGCTTCTCCCCTGAAGAGGTCTTCTCCAACATTTATGTTTCATCCCCTCTTTCTCCCTTCTTCGCCCCGTCGCCCTTATATGCGCAATGTGACGATACTTACCATAAAGTAAAGGGAGGGAAAGAAGAAAATGACGATCCTTCCGTACGTACAATGCAACTATGTGAGGGCGATCTGTTGATTCGGTGGAAAGTTACTGATATGACTGATGAGATTGACTTTGAACTGAGAGGGCGCACGACAGGTGAGTCGGCACACATATACATATACACATGGATTTCTTCTCCTTCATATGTACATGTGTCTATCCATCCACCAGGTTGGGTAGGTATCGGCTTCTCGTCAAACGGCCGTATGCACGACTCAACACTCCTCATCGCCCACAATCTCCACAACCAAACCAGTATACCAATCGTCCAAGCCTATCGAGCAGGAAGCGACCGTCTACCTCGCTTAGATGACGAGCGGTCGAAGGCAATACGTGTGATGGAAGGGAGAGAGGAAGAAGGATGGACTACTGTGAGGTTTGCCGTAAGATTGGGCGATATAGGCATCGACATTAGCGGAGAGGAAAGAAAGACCACGTGGTTCTTGGGTGCTGTTGGGCCGGATGGGAAGAAGGGTCTGTGTGAGGGAGAGGTGAGTGAGACGGGATGGATGGAAGGAAAGACGTACAAAGGAATGTATATATACGCAGAGAGGGGGATATTGGTGCTTACATTGCATGCACTGTATTTAGCTGTAAATCATCTTTCGAGCTCTCTCTCTCTATATATGTGTGGGTGCCTGCAGGATGCCTACCACCAAGGCAAACGGCAATCAGTCCAAGTGGACTTTATACGAGGAAGGGGCACTATCACTGCTAACGACTATCGACCTGTGATGTGGGTTCACGGGGCGATCATGTGGGTGGCGGCAACTTTCCTTCTGCCGTTAGCCGTGTGTATATCGAGATATTTCAAGCATACGAAGTGGTAGGAGGGATATTTACGGAGTGAGGGACCTTTACACATATATATCACAAAAAGATACGTACAGACAATGGACGACATATGTATACATTGATTGTTTTCTCTCATATATACATTCATGTGCATCTCTTTTCTCAGGTGGTTGTCAGCCCACGAACGTATCGGAATTACCCTAGCAGGCAACATGGTTGGCCTAGTATTTACCGCCATCGCCGAAAAGAACGCACGAATTGCTACCGTTCATGGGGTGGTCGGTCTTGGATTGGCTGCTATGGTGCTTTTCCTGCTGGTCTCGGGCTTCATTAACCGGAAGTGGCAGGCCTTGGTAGGTTGGTCGACGGACAACACGAGAGATGTATACGTGTATACGTACGTCCATGTGTATGCATACAGATGCACATGCATATATATATATATGTCTATACATACGCATATATACAGATGTACGTGAACACAGGCGGATGGACATATACATAGAACCATCACTGTCCTCACAGGCCTCCAAAAGGATCGTCAGCCGTCAGACATTCAGACTCTTCCGTTGTCTTCACGCATTCATGGGCAAAGCTCTCTTATTCGGTGCTTTCGGGAGCTCCATCCGAGGTATGTGCTCTACTTTTTCTACATACACCTTAGTGCGTATTCGTTTGTCACCTCTGAGTTAATCCTTGTTTTTTGACATGTAGGCTGCATGCTTCTCTTTCCCACGACTCCGTGGGTCTGGCAGGCTCAACTGGCCCTATGTGTAGTAATTTGCGTCGTCATATGTCCGTTAGAAGTGAGACGGCGTTATCCGAGGATGTTTTGTAGTATCTGTCATGCGCTGCCGCGGGGAATGCAGGTATGTAAGAAGGGAGGTGGGAGCTTTCCTATATCTGACTATACACTATGCAGATACGTGCGCGCATGTGTATATCTATGTTGCAGATGGGCATTCTCACTCCCTTGGACCTCAGCTATGTGTCCTCTCTTTCCCACAACACTGACCCAGGCCCTAAATCTTCATACCTCAAGCAGTGTTTTAAGTGGCTCTGCTTCGGTATATATGCATATTATCGCATGAAAAGAACACCGATTTATCTTTGGTTCCGATTCATCTTTGGCTCATCTCTCCTCTCCTTTGTCACAACAGATAGGAAGGGCCCTCGTTCGATCCGTGCAGCAGAACGGCTGTTCACGTATGATGAAGTGTGTGATGCGGTAGAGAAAGGGGGTCAGTGGGTGGCTGTCATAGATGGTGTGTATGATGTGAAGGGATTCTTGGGAGCACATCCGGGTAAGATAATGAAGGGGGCAAGGATTTGATATTGCAACTATTTGTAAATGGATGGATGAGCTGTGCTTGGTATGTGTGCGTTCGGTACGTGTGTGCTGTGACAGGTGGGAGTGCTTTAATCGAAAGGCATATTGGCTGTGATATCACGTTTCTGTTTCTGGGGTATGCGTATGTACGTATGTATGTATGTACGAATCTATGTAAAGCAATACCTCATGAAATACCCGTATTGTATTGCGGCAGCCTGGAGGAGTCCAGGAGGAATTTTTTGCCACAGAGACGTACATCGACTATGACCGCTACATCATGGACCTTCCTAAGGAGACGGTCATTGCGTAAGCTAATATTTACATGCTTCTAATGTCCTCATCTTATTGCATACATGTTTATTGCATCTGTCTGCACACATACTTAGTTAGACCTCCCCAGCCTGACACAGTTGCACCTCCGAAGTCCAATATAGCACCGTCATCTTTACGGTCGTCTTCTCCATTACCCATCAGCAATCAACTTGGTACGCCATCGCACATAATGGAGGACATCAAGATGCCCTTTCATAATGTCAAGTTGGTTTTTGCAGATACACTGGACCCGACAAGAACTGGGAGGACACACAGTGTGTTTGCTGCCTACACGCTGAAAGGATACAGGTATGTAGAGTCGTATGGATGTTATGTAGGCATATGCATATATACAACTGCAAGGACAGATATGTATGTATCTCTCTGTGACTGTCTGTGTATAGAGTTGGCACCTTGATCACTTCCAGTAGCCCATACGATGAACGCAACGAGCTAGACCTCTCTTTTACACCGCCTCCCTCCTACTACGCACAACGCACTTTCTGTCTCAATGTCAAACAGAGAGATGCTCTCACTGTCTTGACAAATAACAGACTCTCTTCAATCCGCTCGTCATCCGATCGACTTCCGAAGAAGGCCGATACGATATTGTTTCCAGAGACAAATGAGGATAAGGCAGAGGGCAAGGCAGACAAGAGAGTCATTGCGGGGTAAGCTGGTGAGAAAGAGGCATCTATTCATGTATACATAAGTCTCACTATACATGAATACCTTCGTGGGTCACTGATATTATTCTCCTCTACTTTTCTTCTGTTTCCTTTGCCTTTTACAGGTTATACCAGGAGATGCACGTGGTAGAGAACGTCATGCTGAGTCGATGTGCGAAGCGAGACAAGGGCCTTCTACCCGTCCACCGCCTGACGCTCGAAAGCTTAGTGCCTCTTGCCGTGCACTCATATCGACCAGGTGAGAAAACACATACAACATACAAACATGTCCTTCGTATGTATGTATATATGCTATTCCTTCACCTTTCAGGCATGCACGTGGAGGTTCTAGAAGATATCGATGGTCGTCGCTTAAAACGTTCCTATAGCGTTGCGTCCTCTCCCACCCCCCATCGCTTAAGCCTCCTCTTCAAAGTCTACCCTACCGCAGGACGGGGCATGTCCCAGACACTATCCAACGTGCGTCCAGGTGATACCATTCGTGTGAGAGGCTTCAAAGGACCGGATCTTCTTGAGGGCGCGCCCCTTCTGCCCTCTACCATCGAGAACAAGACCATGTGGCACGAGTTTTGGCCGTATTGTGGTGTGATAGTCGGAGGGACTGGTATTGTTGCTTTGCTGAACTTCATAAGGCATCAGGAGCATGCGCTGAAGGCTCTTAGAGACAACCCAGCGATTGATACATCTGGGACGGAAATGGGGTTGATTTTCGCGGCCAAGGATATGGATGAGGCAAAGGTAGGTATGACATAAGTGTACATATATGCACATATATTCCAATCAATATGTTACGTCGCTTACATTCGCTTACGTGTACGTCTGCGTACTTGCATATATGATTGCGTTCAGGCGCTTGGCTGGGATGAGGTTTGTGAGCTGAAGAGGGGGCTGGCCATGAAGAAAAACGGCGTATCGCATTACATGCATGGGCGACTGATGCTGTCTCGGGTCGGCTATGAACTATCCGGTGATTCCCCAGACGTCCCGGAAGGAGACAATGATGTTCGAGTGGGCATCATAGATTCTTTCACGCTCAAGGAGGGCATCCCCTTCCTCCATGCATTGGCTGAGATAGCGAAGCAAAGTAAGCCAGAGATCCACGGAAGTGTCGAAGTGACGGCGAGAGAAGCATCTTCGGATACCATGCATTTCTCGACTCCAGGAAATCGGTTGTCGACCGATGGGGAGCAAGATATACGGACGCTTCCGAACATAGATACGTCCATGAATTTAGAGGACTCCATGCCATCGAGCAACATGCCTTTCAAGTCCAACCACTTGGACAAATCCATCCATACAACGAGTGAGAGATGGCAGTCTGGGAAGCCGACGCTCAGAACGTCCCGTATTTTTATCTGTGGGCCGCAGTCGTTCAGAGATGGAATGTGGTTGGTTCTTGAGGAATTGGGCATTCCGACGGAATGCCTACGATTCCTTGAGTGATTAATGCTATGTGTGTATGTGTATCCTCTGCTTACGGTTCCAACCGTGTCTTCAAGTACGGTTTTTTTATGTGTGTCGAACAACGATAAGTCACGGCGCTCATAGACTTTGGGGCAGATTGGGTGACAGACGAGGCTCTTTGTCAGGCGAGCGTGCGCTTGTTAGTTCCTTTCTATTTCCAGCCACTATTTCTTAGACTTCCTTCCTTTGTCGGCTTTCTTTCGCGCTGCTGTCAACAGGACTCTTCACTCTTACGATCTGACAGTCCCTAATGGCTGTCTCCATATTGTGATATAGACATCGCGCCCTAACTCTAGATCTCGATTCCCGCAAGACGTCTATACCACTGAATGCTTGTGGGCGGTGGCTTTGATAGTATCTACACGCATCGATAGAGGATAGGCAGGAGGGGAAGCTGTTGAGCCGTTCAGTCGTTAAGTGATTGTCTGCCTGCCTTCCTGGCTAGGTATACACCCATCCGGTTGCCCCTGAATGGCGTGGTGTATCGTGCAAGTCTGTTCGACCTGCTGCGTAGCTTACTGTCGCCTACCTGTTTGTCCTGGGTGTCGTTGAGCATTTGAACGGACACATGCGCACACTTGATATTGAGTCGATAGGTGTGATGCGCCGGGGTCCACACACGTGTTGGTCCACGGCACGAAGAAACGAACAGGCGGGAACAGTCGATCATAATGAAACGTGCAAACACTCGAGAGGCGAACCAGCAGAGCTCCATGACTAGCATACGTGAATGCAACGGACGGCCATGTAGTATCATGTGGTGCACCGTGCCAAGCGAAGAAATGAAGGCGGCATACTTGAGTGCACATACTCATTTCGTGAAGCACTGTCGATGGCTCGTCCGAGAGGTTTGTCGGACAAATAATGTTCCCGGTTGCTCGAGAGCAGAGTGATGACCAAGCCAATAATTCACAAAGTGAATGAGAGTCTCTGCCTTTGGCAAAAGCTCTGTTATCCTCAACGCCTTTTCTGTTAGCGTTGCGCTGTCTCCGTTAACACAGTGGATTCGTCTTCGCATGGAGTTCCTCCTCTAACTGACTTTGCGAGCTTGAGTGCACAACTCGACGGGGTTGATGGACCTATGCATAGACAAGGGAACAGAGACGTATATATGCAAATGGACGAGGTATCATGACGGTGGGAACTGAGTTCATCTAATGATGTCCACTCATCTAGTCGCAGTCCTCTCCCTCTCATCACCATGCCGGCTACCCGAGCACCACCTTTCCCATTGCAAAACGCTCGTGCAGCTCTACCGAATGAGGGAAAACACGGCCAAACCACTCGATCACGTCACAGCAGTGGCAGTTGGTGCACATCTTGCCCTTTTTGAAGCAGGGACAGCCTCGCTTCTCTCCCTTCCTCTTGCATCTCGATCCAGTCGCTTTGTTCTTCTTCAGTAGTCTTATACAAGGGATTTCTGATACTCGCTTCGCTCGCATCAAAGATCCCTTATAGGGGAGGGTTTGAAGGGTCAAGGGTTTCAAACCCAGAAGAAAGCAAGAGAGAGAAGCGAGCATCAGAAAACCCATTGTTTAGACGGTGTGTCATACTGGCCAAGAGCCAAGCAAGCACGCACGTGTCAGTCAGTAAGCAAGCACGCATTGCGTCCCGTCCGCTCTTTCCCTTACGCAAGCCGACAAAACACTAAACAAGCAAGCAAACACGCACTACACTGCTTGTCTGCCCTCCCTTATGCACGCAAACATCAGTCAATCAGTCAACAGGTAGGTAGGTAGCGGACAAACACATGCATCGATTGCTTGCCCTTCCTCCCTTTCTTCCGCATTAGTCCTCGTTCTTCTCCCTTCATCTACTGAATGCTGGTCCTCTCAATGAGACTGTCCAGACCTCTTCAGTGTCTGTGTCATGCATCACACGGTCCTCCAATGAAAAGTCTGTCAGTTCAGGTTCTTCTCCATTGCGAATTGCCCCAAAAATCTCTTCACATTGTCGCCATGAGAGATGGCGAATATTGATGGGGGTCGAAAGGCGTTGACGAAATGTTGGGTTGAAAATGCAAAAAAGGAAGCAGGCTAGTCGTAATTGGCATCGGTGCCCGTTCCTCTGAAAAGGTCCCATAGACAAAACCGAATGGGGACTGTAGAACAAATGCTATTTTCTTCCTTCTGCATCCACATATGTTGCTGGACTTGAATGAGCACCACATCGGTAGGGCAGGTTTGGTATTGCAGATGAAAGCAAGGGATTAACCTGCGATTTGCTTGCTTGTACTTAGAGGCTTCCCAGAGATCACGGTTGCCCTTTCGTGGTAGTCACGTTAAACAGATTCGGGAGAACCACTCTCCCCATGTAAGAAAGTGTGCAATAAAACAACACACGTTCATTTCGTTTTTGTCTTTCTTTGCCACTAGTGAGTATCTTGGTGGCTCGAAAACTATACGGGCAAACAGCCGGTGTGTCACTGTGTCGATGTATGAGTGCCTCCCTGTGCTGCAGCTGCTCGAAATAAGCAAGAGCTTCGTGATCCGTTCGATCGTTCTTCTTGTCCCGAGCTCCTAGTGATGCCCATAGGTAACATCATCTAGGCTGGAAAGAACCAGTTCATCGCCCTCGACATGGTATCTCAGTCTACTACTTGTCAGTCGCCTCTTTTCATATTATGTTTAGCATTTTCCCACACGAATTCAGGTGTAATTTGGCTTTTTGACCGAGCAAAGATTGTTTTGAGGTGGTCTTAAGCGTGCCACCTGCAACATTAATTGAACAGAGATGACAGATGAAAAGAAATGATAGCTAGAGCGACTCTTGCGCCTCACCAGAACCGTATAAGGACACGATTTCCGAAATCAATAGCAGCTCTGAAATATTCACGAGGAGAAAGAGCCCTCACCAGCCTCAAGAAGGTGGGAATTGTCTCATTGAAAACAATCTCGTCCTTGGCCTTGAATTCCTCTCATATAGCATAGAAGCTCACGTGGAGGGAGCGGTTAACTGACGGTCGCAGTGGCCATTCGGCCTCGTCTGAGTCTAGGTGGCTACCTACGCATGCAAGCACGGCACAGAGACAGTGCAAGCACAGAGTACGGTAAGTCCCTTTGCAAAACAAGCACCAGTGGCAACCCATGCTCACCTTGTTGTCGATTGATTTAGTGCGACACCGTGCACGAATGTCCACCATCGTCCACACAAGCTATCGATACATATCTGTGCACAAAGCGTTCGAGTCACTCATCCGAGAAGATCCCCGCCCCATCCATAACCCGAACACTACGCCATGACTGCCTCCCGCCACGCAGACAAAGACTAGCAGCCCGCACCAACGCGACAGACAGACGAGGACGCAACCAACACTGTACACGTGCCTGCCCTCTGTCTGACCACCCCTGCCTTGTCACCAGCTGCTCGGTCAGGCGAGTGAGGAAGTGCTCAGCCTCTCTCCCCCACACCGTGACGACCGGGGGGTGAAGGTGACTGACAGATTCTCGCATTGTTGTCGATCGGCAGACACAGCAGCGGCTACGCATGCGCAGGGAGGTACATACACACTTTGACTGCATGCAAATCACCCGGTGTACCGTTGATGGGGGTGGTTAAGAAGCCTGTCAGATGGAGAGCCTGAAGGCGTCCAAATCGTGAGATGCCTTTTTTGGAAAAGGGTCGCTTCGCCTTTCTTCTCTCATCCTTCTGCCCTCTTCACTCTGAAGTCAGCGCCTCGCCTCTGTACTGTGTCATGTCACCTACGTGTCAGACAGACCTTGTGTGTGAGTGTGGGCGACAATGCTTTCGACGTGGCGCGCTCGGGCTTGTTCTGTTTGATAAATGGTGTCTTTGACAATGAATTCGTTACCACTGATTTGTTCTGACGCGCGACAAGTTTCACACACTCTTCCTGCCGCTTCGTCATTTGACGGCTGCATCGCATTGGCCATGAGGAGACAGAGGTCTGCAGCTATAGATGACACGAAAAGTGAGATACATCATTCAACGCGCCGCACCATCTCACAACTGACTTTGCATTCATTGCAAGCTGGATCGAATCAATAATCGTTGATGACTTCTCGCTCTAAACCCCCGAAGGCTCATCGGGGGCTGCCTGGATTATCAATCCCGTACCCCGATAAAGACATTCCATTCGCTGGCGATCTCCTTGGGAGGGCCACAATCAAGCTGGCAGGACCGTACAAAGTCGCAAGGCATGCAAGCTGAGAGACACACTCATTGGGAGCATACATGGTTCCCTTTCTCGTGTCAGAAAGGTGCTGCCTCTCAAGAGACCCAGCGATTCGTCCAGTCGGTGGCCCATTTTAACCAAGAAGAAGCACTGTGACTTATGTAGCTGTCGTGTATCTGACAAAGTCCCTCGACAATCGGTCTGACCTGGTCCTCCTCGCTCAGAAGGCTTCCGCGACCAGAATGCTCGCAAGTCAATTGACTTCCAGCTAGAAAACTACAATGTCAATGTCACTGTGTATAGGGTGAGTGTGAAAGCCATTCGATCGTCGCATTAAGCGTCCATTTGTCGCAGCTTTACGTGCTTGAAAGCATTAGGAGATGACCGGAGTGATCAACTTACCCCTCGATGGCCACACACGAGTTTCGCCTGCTGGTAGGTAACCGGAATGTGATAGTCGCACCATCATTCTTGGCCATCGAGTGCAGTTGGGGCGCTAGCAGAACCGGTGTGTCTCGCATTGCGGTTGACGTCACTTGCCAAGAAGAGAATCTAGAGTTCTACATGCTACAAAGTAAGGCCATTTCCTACGTCTCTCCGTCCTCAAGACTGAAAGCTGAGGCATTTTTCACAGGACGGAAGAGAAGACAGGTTGCGTGATAGACGGACAGCACCGATGGGTCTGATGTTGTGTGTATTGACTTGCAGCAGTTTGAGGCTCAAATGGCCATGCTGAGACCGAAACCGGCCCGGTACCGAAGAAGCCGGCCATCTTGCCTTAAGAGCCTGGCTCAAGACCCA